TAGAGCTGTTTAAACACATTCCAAATATAATTTTAATACAGAGATCATTGCTACAATAGCTGAGTAGTACAGGTTTCCTGAATCGGAAGTGACGAATGCCAAAGGAAAACACGAGTCATCCCTCTATATAACTGACTGATGTGACGAGTGATAACAGATACACGGCCAAATTTCTATTCACTAATAATTCCTTTGAAGACCAAAAGTTGTTATGTTAAATACGATGATTTATACCTGTTTCAGATAGGATTATATGCTTAATTGTAGTTGGATGTGGCAGAAATGTTATAAATAACAATAATTAATCGTTGTTTTGATGAAAAATATTGTCAATTTTGCTTACTGAGACCCGATGTGATTTTCATTGGACTTTGCTACGTGGAACTAAATTACAGGCATCTCTTATCTCGAAACACAGGGGGTTGAGAGATGAGGTTTGTTATCTAATCTCGGTCGTGATCGGTAATTAACAAAAATCAACGAGTAAACTTATGGGTGCAGGCTGTTTCGTAACCTGGCTGTTTCGTACTTAGTTCGTTCGTACCTCACTTCCTACCCCAGATTGATTCGTACCTTTGTTGAAATAAAGGTGAAACATGTCGATTTAATAATAACCAACACATACAAACGCCATTTAAGTAGCTAAGTCTGTAACTCAATATCATCAAAAATCTTCTACATTCAAAACTCAAATTATTTGTCAACTTAAATCAACATTGGTCTTGAGATCTTAGAGGGAAAAGATGGGCTTCTGATATCCAATATTGGAGACAAAATAAACATTTTGCCATTGGTACACGAATCGTGTACCATAATGCGTTTCAGTGCCATTTGGAACAAGAGACTCAAAGAACGAGGCTAGACATATTCCACAAGTCATGTCAATGGGGACGCTATATTCTTATCTGGAGAGCATGCGCAATAAATACTATCGGTGTAGACTGGAATAACCAGACGCTACAGATTGTCATTCAATTGAGACTTCTGGCGTATTTTCGCCAAACATAAATGATTTGATTATCATATGCATTGCGAGCCATTTTTGTTGATTTCTAAGTCCCAAATATTAGCGATTTAATCATATTTGATTATCATATGCGTTGCAAGCCATTTTTGTTGATTTCTAAGTCCCAAATATTAGCGATTTAGCCCCTTTAACAAATTAAAAGATAGCGCGCCAGGTCGCCTACAGATAATAGTATGCTACATAGAAAATCACTGGATCAACAGTAGAACATGGCCAATTGCAAGCTTGTGTTTCTTCATGCAAGCATTAAGAACCAATAATGACGTGGGGGGTTGGCACAACGATCTAAACACCCAAGCAGTTATTGAAGCTAATATCAGAGGGAAAATTAAAGCGATAACAACGAATTCACACCCGTTTTACCCAGGGTTGGATTTTCAACCTGTGGGAGGAATACGCCCAGAATCCTGTTAGGGAGGTGTACCTTTGTTTAGAAACTTTGTATATGGACCAACTGCCGCTCCTGTTGCCGCCTAACATACTTGCCCACCAAGAGTTATAAAATAGAAGAAAATAAAAGCACAATTTTAATTCCGCCAGCAGTAGAGAAACAGAAAAAAAAAAACCCAACAAAGGTTGCAATTAACGAAGGTACGAAACGTATCATATGTGAGGTACGAAACAGCCTGGCTTAGTGGTTACAAAACAGCTGACATCCAAACTTATTTAATTTAATACATTTAAATTCTGTACGAGTCAAGTATTAGTTGTGGACGACTTAAAGGAGCTAAATCGCTAACATTTGGGACCTAGAAATTGACACAAGTGGGTCGCAACTCAAATAATACTGTAATATGAATGTATATAAACTGATTTATATTCAATCGTTTCCGTTTTTACTCTAATTTCAAATCAGTTATGTTCGTGAAATAAGCCAGCAGTCTCAATCGAATGCAAATTCCTAGCGTCTGGTTATTCCAGTCTACATACGCCGTTTGGTTTGGTGCAATATGTCTACAGTATGAACCGTGGTAAATTATAAACTGATTTCTTCGATTGTGAACAAACTACTGAATAAATGTTATTAAAAACTTGCCTATGTGTTTGAAATCACTTCCCGTTGAATAAAATCCATGGCACAATAAAATTTCCCAATGAAAAAAATAGTTCTCTCTTGAAAAGTCAATGTTTTTGCTTGTATTTTCGACAGTCTCCATCACAACATTGCACTTGTCACGTGGTGAGTTAATCCATCGTAATATTTTGAAGGGGGGTAAAGATTGACAAATTTTAACAATCACGTGTGCTGCTATCAAAACAGCACACGACCTTTTCGGTCGTTTGAGTTTGGACAACAAGATTAGGAACTAAAGACAATAATATTAATTCAGAAACAATTAATTGATTGTCAGTCTACTAAATTTTATTCACAATGAATATATCACTGATTACACGTATACTCGTAAATATTGCTTTCACATAATCATCGACCCATAATTGTAAATACCCTGTATCCTGTATAGTGTATATTATATATATTTTCATAAACTATATTAAATCTCTGCGTGCCAATTATTATAGGCAACTTTGTGGCTAACATTTACAAATAAACACACTTTATTTCATAATTTTAATTGATCATATTTCATAACAGGGTCTAATCCCAATGCTCTGTGGTTATTAGTCCATTTACAAAATTTTATGATTACCCGGTAAAAAAAAACAACAAAAAAACAAAAACAAAAACGGTCACCGCATGTTAATAATTTCCATATTTAATTCACGTTCCGAATGTTCATGTCAATAATATTCCTGATTAAATTACTCTTTTTTCTTTATTCGACAAATACTGAAGTCGAAACATTCTTGAAAAGAACAGTTCGGGGTGTCTAAATATCGTTTGTCGTCTTTATAAAAATGTATTTAAAACAAAAAAAATCACTCGTCAAAAGAGGCATCGCAGATTGCGTGTATTATTGTGTGTTAATTATGCAGACCGTGGGAAAAACTTGTGAAAGTTTTGCGCCAAATTTAACGGTTTTCACTGCATCTGTGTAGCATACAATAACTCATATGGCATGGTACCTTTTACGGTAATAGAATTCAAAGCGTTGATTGGCTGAGGCATGATCGCGATCTACAAAATGCCATCAGGAAATAGTAAAGATATTTAAGGGTGAGATTCAAGACCCGTAAAACGAATGTCATTCTTTTTTTTTTTACTGCACCTGTGTTCAAAAGAAATAATCCCACCCAACTCTCTAACCCAATAATTAATACAAGACGAAAACAAAATAACGGACTACAGGCTTATTTATGGTTGTAAACGCCCAAACTCATGGGTCCGAGAGCAATAGTGTATTCATACACAAATTTGAATTGGCGGAAGAGAGCCAAATACCGTTACGATATAAACAAGTCTAGCTGCGACCTCCTTGTATGAAATGATCTATCCCGATAAGTGACGTAATTAGCTTCCATGTTTGTATTTCTCGATGTCCAAGTGTGTGATGAGTTCAATTTTACAAGAGAGAACTTTTTTATTCGCTGGGATATTTAGTTGTGCAATGGATTTTATTTAACAGGAGTTGATTTCAAACTACACAGGTAAGTTTATAATAACCAAAGTTAAGTAGTTTGTTCATAATCGAAGAAATTCGTTTATAAAATAGGAAGGTTCATACAGTAGCCTCGTTCCTCGAGTCTCTTACTAGAACTGGGGCTGAAACGCATTATGGTACACGATTCGTGTTACCAATACCAATGGTAAAATATTTATTTTGTCTTGAAGTAGCTATGTCTCTAACTCAATATCATCCAAAATCTTCAACATTGAAAACACGATTTATTTGTCAAATTAAATCAACATTCATGTTGTGATCTTACTGGAAAAAGATGGGCTTTTGATATCCAATATTTAAGACAAAATAAACATTTTACTATTGGTACACGAATCGTGTACCATAATGCGCTTCAGCCCCAGTTGTATCAAGAGACTCGAGGGACGAGGCTAGACACATTGCACCAAATCAAACGGCGTATGTAGACTGGAATAACCAGACGCTAGAAATTTGCACTCGCTTATTTCGCCGAACATAACTGATTTTGAAATAGGAGTAAAAACGGAAACCATTGAATGTAAATCAGTTTATATACATTCAGATTACAGTATTATATGCGTTGCGGCCCACTTTTGTCAATTTCTAGGTCCCAAATGTTAGCGATTTAGCTCCATTAAATATTGGATATCAGAAGCCCATCTTTTTCTGGTAAGATCACAGCATCAATGTTGATTTAAAGGAGCTAAATCGCTAACATTTGGGACCTAGAAATTGACACAAGTGGGTCGGAACTCATATAATACTGTAATATGAATGTATATAAACTGATATACATTCAATGGTTCCGTTTTTACTCTAATGTCAAATCAGTTATGTTCCGCGAAATAAGCCAGCAGTCTCAATCGAATGCAAATTTCTAGCGCCTGGTTATTCCAGTCTACATACGCCGTTTGGTTTGGTGCAATATGTCTAGCCTCGTTCCTCGAGTCTCTTGCTAGAACTGGGGCTGAAGCGCATTATGGTACACGATTCGTGTACCAATGGTAAAATGTTTATTTTGTCTTAAATATTGGATATCAGAAGCCCATCTTTTTCCGGTAAGATCACAGCATCAATGTTGATTTAAATTGACAAATAATTTGTGTTTTCAATGTTGAATATTTTGGATGATATTTTGAGTTAGACTTGGCTACTTTAAATTGACAAATAATTTGTGTTTTCAATGTTGAAGATTTTGGATGATATTGAGTTAGAGACTTAGCTACTTAGTTGTTTACGAGTCCAGTATTAGTTGTGGACGACTTAACCATTACTATTATTACTAAATAAAATACTATAAGTATATAAGTTAGTAAAGTAAGTAGCCTGTGCTGTTGTACTTGTAGGGCCTACACATAACCAATGCCTTGTGGACGACAACTGTTGACGACTTTGCTTGTGGAAGAATTAACTGGCACCCTCCGGTAATATACCTTTGATATTTACACCTGGTATTACACATTTCATTTTAAATCATTGAAATTTTTTATGATATTTCAATTTTATTGCCATAAGTCACAAATTTTCCCGCAACAATCAGCCATTTTGTAAATAAAGAGACAATGAGAGATTCCTATTGGTTCAAATATATAATAGATGGCGCTGCGAATGGGATTAGACCACACTGTGACAGTTTGAGATGGTTCCTGGTGTGTGTTTGCTCCTGGGCACTTGCGCATGTCCGAGACTGTTGTTTACGTTAACAACGCAGCTATATCTATTTCCGCCATTGTGAAATGGTTCCTGATCATTGATCAGTTTTGGAACTATTTAGTTAGAGTTTGGTCATTAATAAACATGCTTGTTATCGTGATTAGCTGTTGTTTTAGTGATCAGTAGTTCTATCGTTCGTGATTTGTTGCCGTTGTTTTTTTTAGTGATTAGTCGTTACACACACGTACAATCAGTGGAAACCATACATCACTTTTTTGATGTTTTAACAATGTTTTAATAATTAACTGTTTTGCAGATTGAATATTGGAATATATGATTGGGATTTCTCTGTATCATTATTTTAATTTTGTACTTATTAAAATTTTTACAACTTCACAATAGAGCATATGTGTTTTATTACTCAAATACAAAACCTTAATCAGGTAAATCATGGGATCAACATCTGAAAATAAATCTGAAAACACTCACTTCTTGAACATGAATATATATTTATCACCCCATTCCATATAAAGAAAAGAAAGTGGTACTAAATACTCCTTGTAAATTTGGGTTCAAACATGCATGCAGATTGCACAATTGGCCTACATTGCATACTCTGCATTTATACAAGGGACAATTATTTTCTATTAAATTTTCGCATTGTTGACGAGAATATTCAATATTTATACCGAATAATAATAAAGATCGTCAATTTGTATTTCTACTTTTTATTGAAATAAACAAACATTAGAAACTCGACACCCTCACCTGCCAGAAGTATTACTGTAAATATTGGTAGATAATAGTAGAAACAGATTTAACCCTAAGAAAATCTTAGAGGTAATCCTATCACGAGGAGTAAACACACACTGTGTCCATAACGGTTTGAGTTGACTCTTACAACTGCGCATGCGCTAAACGGTAATCACACACCGGGAACCATCTCAAACTGTCACACACACTCGCAAACCTCACCAGATTCCATCATGGATCGTATAGTAGGCCTACAGTTCTATTAGTAAGTGCGGGTGGACCGCACTACACGCAAAACAATATGATTCCAGTACCCTACATCTGGCCTCGGCTGTATGACGAAGTCCGCCATTGGAAATACTTTCAAGTTCCCGGATTACCAACGGCGTTAACCATGACGACGTCTTTGAAGAATGTTTTATCATACAAATATTTCAGTCTGAAGCCAGGGGCGGATCCATGATATTTCGAAAGGGGGGGGGGCGTACTTTGAGGGCGAAGCACGAACTATGAGCGCCACAGGCGCGAAGCAACTGCGGGGGGTCTGGGAGGCCTCCCCCATAAAGAATTTTAAGATAAGACTCCATATATATGCGATTTCCTGGCATCTGATCTTCAAATATTAAACACAACTCCCACCCTATTTCCAGTGTTTTTTTGTCTGCAAAATCACCAGGAACAGATCGGTAGCCTACTGCCTGATAAATTTCTGAAAAAAAGTCCGACTGAAGGAAATTAAGGCACGTGGTTTGAAGGAGGTAGTAATTTATGAAAAAAGGTTGAAAATTCCTTTTCAAAGATGAGCGTGTTTTTTTTTTTAGAATCTGGTCATGCTGATGCAGAAATCATGCTGCTCACAGAACCTTACCTGTCCCTTGGTAAGTGAGGCCTTAGAATGCATATTCTAAGGGCTCACTTACCAAGGGACAGCTAGATGACAGGTAAAGTTATGTGAGGTAATGTATATCAATGATCGGTCAAATTTGGTTAGGTACCATTTAGCCTACGTATTTAAGTCACACAATATATATAGAATATTTAATCCACTCCAAATAGTAAGAGAATAACGAATATAAAATCCCCTATAAATATTTGAGTATATCCTGTTGGATAAATTAGTCATACTTAGAGCCCCACCAATCTATAGACCGGCGATAATCTTTTGGGTCACATAGGTTTTGGGGCCTGCAGGCTGGTTGCGGGACCAAGATTAAAAATAAGTATGGCCTGAAATTGGAGGGGGGGGGGAGGCATTTGTCCCAATTTACCCTCCCTTGATCTGGTAGACTACTTTTTATATACGATAACTTTTATAATGCACGATTCATTTGTATATTTTTAAAGACTTTTTCTTTTCGTGTACATTTTTATAATATGTAGAAATTGTTTCAATAATAAAAAATGTCCCAATACATGTATATAATTTATAATGTTCTCTTTTAATGTAAACATTGTAATAATACTACAATTTATTAATCAGAATGAAGATTAAGACATTTGTATACGTTACAACTAAAGTGGGATTGTATATATATATATATATATATATATATATATATATATATATATATATATATATATATATACGTATACAAATGTCTCAATATTCATACTGACTAATAAATTGTAGTATTATAAGATATTTCATTTTATGGGTGCTATATTTCATCTAAACCATACAATTTAAAAAATTGGAAAAATTCATGTTGCCAAAAGTTATCTTATTATCTGGGAATTTAAAACTGAACGAGACCGGTAAACATTCTACCAAACAGTAGCATGTGAATTAATTCGAAAATAGTCTTTGTAGTATATTCATGGTGGATATTAAAAAGTACATTAGGTAGATTCATTCCATCAAAGGATTCATGAATAGCATGTGGCGAGGATATTTTCGGGAATACTCGTCAATAATTTTGCATAATCAAGAGGGATGTCCCGATGGACGAAAAGAAGTACAAGGGCATTGAATCTGTCCTCGGCCATAGTGGATCAATACGTGTTTTTGACGAAACCTTCTCAACCCCCGATGAAACAACGCTGGTTAGAGTTTTTGCCAATGTGTCTGGCAGATCTTTGTCGCGGTCAGATTCCCAGAAACTCTTCCATAGTCGTAATTCTTGGTTGAAGTCTGAATGGCAAGGAAGATCTTCGCCATAATGGGCTTTGATGGTGTCCACATTATCCTCTGTCATATTGGCTAGGTTCGATGGGATCAGCAACATGGCCTTTACTGCGTCATGAGACCTGCCACTGAATCTGTCTTCAAGTTGGGTCTTTAGAGAGTCAATAAATGGGACAAAAATTCCCCTCCTGTAATACTCCTCCACACTTTCAGCAGGGACATTGGTTCTCAGTGTTTGAAGCCCGGCGAGACGTGGCTTTGTTATTGGTGTCTGTGTCACTTCCGACAACGCGCAATATTCTTTGAACAGCTTTTAAAATTCGTTAGTTGAATTTCCCCTAATATTTGTCAGTTCAGTTGTGACGTTGAAGACAAGATCATAGGCTCTGACAATGTCCATGGATGTTCCCTGCAACTGTCGTGACATGCCCTTCGTGAAGCCAAATATGTAGTGACACATGGTAAAACTGACCAGGAACTTAGAACTGCTAACCTGGTTTATCAAACCACTTGCCTCTGTCACCGTTTTTGGGTCAAAGCGTTTATTTTCATTTAGTGCAATGAAGTCCAAGCAGTCCAACAAGGGTTCGAACAATGTTTTGAGGTCATCGAAAGCTGTATGTCGCTCAACCCATCTTGTCTCGCAAAGTGGCTTCAGCTTCTGTTTCATGATGTTTGCATTTTTTCCTTGTTTTTGGCATATATTATTGATGGAGACTTCAAATGTCCGTTGCCTTTTTGGTGAATATTTAAAGAAGATGCCAACAGATTGCATAAGACACAACATATTCTGGACTTCAGGTACTTTACACGACCTGGAGAGCGCCAAATTCAGCTCATGAGAAGCGCAGTGAAAATAAATTGCTTTCTCGTTGTCAGTTTTCGTTTGAAATTGTCTGAAAACACCTTTATGCTTCCCGGCCATATTTCCGGCGCCATCGTATGTTTGACAACGACATGTTCCAGGATCTAGGCCGAGGTTTGTCAAGCTATTTATAATTTGATCAGCTATATCCTCTCCTTTTAAGCTCGAGCATTTCACATATTCAATTAATCTTTCAACTGGCTCATTGTTTTGAATGTATCTGAGAATTATCCCAAGCTGCTCCCAGTTGCTGGAGTCGGTCACTTCATCCGCTACAATTCCAGAAGGCTGTGTCTTCACCGCATTCACAATCTGTTCTTGAATATAGTCCCTTATGCAGTCTAGTAGGTCATTTTGTGTTGTTTTTGATATATAGGTTGTCGTCTTCCTACATGACTCTAGGTTATCTCTGAGGTTATCATTTGTACGACTAACAAGCTTCACCAATGCCTTGAAGTTGTCCATGTTCGTCAACTCATCATCACTTTCCAGAGGATTGCCATCATCTCGATGTCCTCTGATTGAGATACTCTGCCTACCACACAGCTCAATACATCTGATTATCGACTCGAGGAAACAACGTTTTTTTGCAATAGTTTTTGAAGATTCAGAAGAAATAATTTGACCAACACGAGACACGGGGGTTTCATGAGTGTTCATAAAAGCTTTCATCCGAGTATGTGAATCCTTGTGATACTGCAGAGTCGAATGGTCTTTGAGGTCTTCCATCACGTCCTCCCAATTCCTGTAGGGTGCAGTGATACAATTTTTGGCGCGTTTTCCTTGATGTGCCGGCATAGGATAAAGAACACAGGCCAGACAAAATAAGCAATCCTTAGCAACGGAGTATGGAATGAATTCAAACACATTAAACCAATCACTGCAGCAATGACGTGTCATCGTTCCAGATTTCCTTCGTTTCTCCACGTAGGTTTTGCCTGGAAAGTTAAATTTTTTCTCTGGAGCTCGGTTTTTGATGAAATATGCTTTCTGGTCATCACTGATCGTTTTGTTACCACCTATAGCTTCTACCCCGTCATATATGTCAAGCATCAACTGCTGCTCGTTGATTTTCTGTGCAGCACCACCATTGTCCTTAGCTGATTCTGCGCATTCCTCATTTGACACGTCCAGACTTACTTCAGGCACAGCGTAAGCAATGAACCATCAGCGGGAGCGCCGC